CATTAATAAAAATACGAATTCCCAAGAAAGCATCTATCTCATTCCATGCCTATTCAAAAACGAGTAATACTATTCGGACCTAATTTATTGACTTAATTCATTATAATCTTTAGATTGACTGTAAGCTCCATCAAACATTGGAACTAAGTGTTAATCCAATGGTTTCAATAAAGTCACGTCATTAGATCAATAAATTATATCAAATTTTTAGGTCTAAATAGCATTTTCCTTCAAAAAAAACCCACAATATACAAAGAGATGTTGTCTTGTCTCTGCACCCCTTGAGCATAAAACACATCAACTAAGATAAGGAAAGCCCAACCCTTCAATTTTTTTTTAGTTCAACAGTCAAGAGTGTTCGGGTCAGTTTACACAGGCCTCAACTATTTCCTCCTCGATTCTGTTAAAGACAGATCATCCATATTGGAACTAAAGAATTCGTGAGGGATACCCTTCAATCTTTTCATCTAGAGGCAAATAATGCTTATAAAGTCTCCAAGCATGAAGCTTAGCACTTGGAAAACAATCTTGGCATCTTGCTGCCATATGTGTTTAGCAACCTCATCCTTCTCTTTACTATTCCGAGTCATCTCCCAAGACGACTTGGATTAGTGGTTCTGGTAACTAATATAACCAATTCTTGATCTTGGATTTATAAGTGTTTTGGGTACTATAATTTAAATTGAGCATTATTATAAAACCTAAATGAAACTCAAAAAGTTGTAACTGAAATGCATATCATTCCTTGGATGAGTGAGTCTCATCAGTTTTTTCAGTGAAGTCCACTCATCCCACACTCATCCAAGAGTTGATATAAGTTTGAGTTTTATTTGGGTTATATAGTATTTTCAATTTAAATTTGCTTGAAATTTTTGGCATATTAAAGGGTGAAGGACAGGTGCGGTTGACCTCATCGAGTCCCAGTATGGAGTAAATGAGCACACACTCCCCTCGTAGAAGTAGCTGCCACTGCAAATTTTTATGTCTGGCTGTCCCCCAATGCATTCCAGTTATCAATAGAGGTATCGTCAATATATGATACTCCACTCAAATACAGGCCTTGAGCTACCAAAACGGTAGTTTATTGGATGACCAAATCTTGACTTTATCTCTCCTTATCTCAGAATTGGGTGGCTAATCCACCACCTATGGTTAGGGAGCTGATCTTCATTGACTATAATCGTTCTTTTTATAGTTGAATGAAAGTTTCTTTCCTTTCAAAAAAAAAAAAAAACTACGAGGCAAACTGGTTATGGCACTAAACAATAATTATTTGATGTATTATCTCTATTTTTCATCAAATAAAATCATGATATGTGTAAACACATTACTTCATTACTTTTACAATCAATAACTAAAAATCAAGATATGTAGATCTTCGATCAACTTAGGTATTGTGACCACAATTTATTTGAGTATTGTAGACTTGTCCTCACTTCAACCACTACATAGTGGATTGGGATTAGTTGGCCATCCAAATAGTGGGGCACCTATTTTTTATGTTCTCCCTTGACCTAGCCCACATACAAGATGCATGCGAGATAAGTTGATGTCTAATGTTACAACTCCTAATGATTTTTTTTTTTTATTAATGTAAATTTATTTTATTTTATTTTTCTTGTTTAAAATTCCAAAAAAAGTTTTTATATTTAACTTTTGGTAACATATCCATTTTAATTGATTGTACGTGATAAGGGTAGAATTTTGGGAATGGGTCGTCACGGCCTATGAGCCCAATACACCTTGAGAATTTAAAGACAAGGCTTATTGGCCCAAAGAGGTGCCTCTGGTTAGCCCACATCAGGAGCAGCAAGGGTAAAAGCCCAATAGCTCTAGAGGGCCAGTAGTCAAGCCCTGGCCCAGTCCAGTACCAATCGAAGGACCATCCGAGAAAGAGGAGTCGAATCTTTGTCCGGGAAACATCCTGTCATACCACGCGTCCAAAAGACAAGGGGATCATCTCTGAAACCTATGACAGTTACACTCTCCTGGGCACAAAGGATGGTGGCGCGTAACGATCCAAAGATCGTGGGTATAGTAGCGCCGGCTAACAGAGGCTTTTGTAGGACAAAGACAGAAGGTCCCCACAGGATGAACAAAATGGTAGAAGGAGCCACTAGGAACCCTAAGAAGAATTAATATAAATAGAACAGTGTTAACCTACTAAAAAGGATCTTCTTCCCCCCAAGAGATTCCCCTACCCTAGATATAGAACAAACAAAGCTTAAGCTCCTGTAAAGGCTCAGGGCCGATGATCCCGATTCTAATACATGACTTTAAGGAGTAAGAGATTCTGTTACAATAGATGTAGTCATGGTTTTTTGGCTAAGGTGAACCATTTATGTTTTGAGTCTTCCATTATTTACAAATCAACCACGCATCTGATCGAACTCACTGATCCAGGTATTAATTTGTTAATCGGGCTTGGACCATTATTTCCGAGACACCATCAGTACGGTTAATCAATTTCATTATTCTTGTTATATTTTGTAGAATTTTATTAATTTTAATTTAAAAAAAAACCTCGATTTTGAAAAGTCAAGTATTAAATATATCGCTATTCTATAAGCAATGCATGAATTGGATTATTTGTTTAAAAAAAGACTTTTAATTCTTAAAATAAAGCTAGATGAAATGTATCTAAAAAATATCCATTTCTTGGGGAACATCCGAGAGCAGTAAAATAATTTTATACTATGCATAAAATTTTTTCACTTAGATTAGATTTTTGTTCTGACCTTCTTTGTGGGGCTTAGATTTTTATGAGATTTAGACTTCTCATTTATAATATACTACAAAAATTTACAAAACATGCAGCTTTCTTATGGGTGGTATTTAAAGTTGTTGTTTTAATGGCCTAATGATAGAGCTGGTGATACCCTTATGTTATTTTTTTTTTTTCTCATATTTAGGTATTATGTTAGAAGTTTATAATAAAAAATTATTAATAATTTAGACGTTGTCTGCTTGAGAAATCACATAAATATATATTTAATACTTCAGAGATTAAAATGATGTAATTGAAATATAAGGGATCAAAATAAGACAAACTCAATAGTTTAAGGATTTTAGTGCAATTAACCCTATTTTTTAACGAAAACTTATTCTACTACCAATTCGCCATTCAAACGTCACGTTAGGATCACGCACCACGAACGTGTGTAATCATCAGTTTACCATACATGTATCAGTTTAACTTTAGCGTTACACAAACAATATGTTTCAAACTTAAGAAGTGCCTTGGGTTTAACGGACACTCTATTGCACATATTATTGGAACCCTAGGCAGACCAAAGGTGCCGTTGACCTCTATTGGAGAACCAATATGGAAGAAATCAAAGGGAAACATACACCTCGCATGATGCCACTGCCAATATCTATCTAATATTACAGCGAGAAAGATGAATTTTTAATTTATAAAAATACAACAACAACTAATCAAATTTTTATCTACTTTAATTTAATGGAATAAAATATATCTCAAAAAAAATTTTCCGTTCAAAAAATATCAATTTCTCTGCAAGATCCTCAATACTAAACTACTTAATCAACATATTTCTCAATGTCAAACAATCTCATCAATCTATTCCTACTTTTCTCTCAATTTTAATTTTAAATTGCATAATTAAAAAAATAATTTATTATTTAAAATATAAATATTACAATATCAGTTCGATTTTTTATATTATACAATGTTTTTAAACACGTTATTTCTATTGTATAAACATACTGTCTCCAATGCGTCCCACTTGTCAACAAAGACATTGTCAATATAGTTCACGAAGTGTGAAGCAACACTCCAGAATTTTTCTCTCTAGAATTTTTCTTCCTTCATGAGTTCATCACAAACACAACACCATATTCCACCAAAACCTCCAGATTCATCCAATATCACACAACAAACCTATGCTTCATTATTCAAAAACCAATCCCACCAAACCTTTGATGGTTCCTTACCAGAAAAAATTGAAAAGCCTACAGTATTTTATGAAGGAGAGCCTGCATTCTATTTTACTAATGAAGATGTGCAAAAATGTTGCCAAACTCTGCAATTTACCTTGATTGGTAAGTGTTCGTATGGCAGACCTTCCCTGGGAGTAATAAAGGAAGTGATTAGATCCAAATGGAACCTGAAGGGGGATTTTGAAGTTGGATCGATTGATCAGAGACATATTTTGTTGAGATTCCAACTACAAGAGGATTATGTTAAGACATGGTTGAAGGATGCTACTCTGATAGAAGATTATTTATTCAGATTTTTCAAGTGGTTCCCAGGTTTTGTTCAAGGCATTGAGCCCTCAGTAGTTCCTCTGTGGGTTTCACTTCCTGGATTACCCTTGAATTTCTTTAAGAAGCAATATTTAAAATTGCTGGTTAAGCCTGTAGGAATAGTTCTGGCCTATGATCAAGCTACTTTATCTCTGTCACGGCCGGGGGTGGCTCGAGTATGTGTGGAAGTGAACCTGTTGTTGAATAATCCTTCTAGAATTTGGATCGACATGGGGGAGGAGGGAGCTAGATGGCAACGAATTATCTATGAGAGAAACAAGCTTTTCTGCAAAAGCTGCAAAAAACAAGGCCATTGTGAGGAAGAATGTAGAAAAAGGAAAGTTTCTGTGTTGCCAGAAGAAGAGAAAGGAAATAATTTAGTTTCCAAGGAGAGTAAGACAGGAAAGGAAAGAATTGAAAAGAATAAAGGAAAGGAAAGACAGTTAATTCAAACTACAGGAAATTCGCACAAGGAAGTTGCTGGACAAAGGAACAATCATCCCCAATCAAAGCAGGCTAATTTAGCCCAACCATTTAAAGGTGTATGGAAGCAGCAACAGAAGCCCAAACAAGTAAGTAATTCTCAGAAAGTAATAGATAGTAATTCTGGAAACCCAATTATTCTCGATTGCGAAGCACAGAATTTGGAAACAGTCAAATCAATTAAAAGCATGGAAACCGGAGAACATTCTTGTAAAGATGACCCAACTATTTTGGGCAAGGATATTTTAATGAAGGCAACTAGGCAAGGAGAAGATTCTGTAAATCTTGTTCAAGATCCTATAGCTGTGGCAGAAACTTCTATGGTTCCCGTGGAAGAAGAGCAATCCCTTCTTGTAGTTAATAATGCACTTCTCTCATCCTTCAGTCACGAGGCAATGAGAGAGAACCTGGAACAAAATAAATATCATGAGGAACCTGTGCAATCTGATATTTTAACAATTCAGAAGAATGTAGAAGATGAGACAGATAAGCAAATAAAAACTAAGTTACCAACGCAAAAGATAAGATATCAACTTGATAGGGAAGTGGGACAGGAGGTATTTGAAGATCTCACCTTTTATATGGACCATGCGTATACATTTAGAGAACTCTCTAATGTTAGCTTGGATGAGGGACTGGGATTAGTTTGTAGCAAGGAACCCCCAGATAGAGGTTTCTACTCAGATGGAGACAATCCTAATAATTCTGACCCCATAGAGGTAGACTCTCAAGCATCAGGAGATGATGATAATTATAGTCCAAAAATAAGAAGATCAGTGGTGTTTCCAACGAGCATGGTAACCAGATCAAAATCTGGTCTGATTAAAAAATCAAATCAGTTTAAATGATTAATATGCTTTTATGGAATATTAGAGGAATAGGAAAAGGTGCAAAACAGAGGCGCCTGAAGAAGTTATTAAAGATGCATGATATTAGCTTGGTGGCAATTCTAGAGCCTAAACAGGGGGTTCAAAGTCTGGTTAGATTGTCCAAATTTTTAAATATGTCGTCATATGAGGTTAATGTTAGGGCAGAGAAGTATGTCTGGATTATGTGGGATCAAAGATTGACGGTGAAGGTGGTGGATTCTCATATACAAGCTCTAACGGTGGAAGCTTTTTTCTTGAGCTCTCTTCCTTTTTTGATTACTGTGGTGTATGCCCAGTGTGATTACATGTTGAGAAGACCACTTTGAGAGCATTTAGGTAATTTTCAGTTTAATTCAATACCATGGATGGTGGCAGGGGATTTCAATGCAATTGTTCAGTCTGCAGAAAGAAGAGGTGGGGCAGTTCCTTGTGTCAATGCAATGGATGATTTTGGGAATTTTATTCAAACAAACGGCTTAATTGACTGTGGCTTCTCTGGTAGTGACTTTACTTGGTGTAACAATCAACAAGGTAGGGCAAGAATGTGGCAAAGGCTGGACAGAGTGTTAGTTAATCTGGATTGGAGTGTTAGATTTGAATCTACAGAAGTGAGGCATAAGGCTAGAGGCAAATCTGATCACTGTCCTTTGTTGGTTACCATTCAAGATACTCCTAATGTCCCTAGGATTGCATACTTTAAATTTCGAGACATGTGGGTACAACATTCATCATTTAAATCTTTGATTGCTGAGAAAAGGAGGGGGAATTATTCATCTAATCCGATTGAGAATGTATTTTTGAAATTGAAATACTTAAAGTTTCATTTAAAACAATGGAACAATGAAGTGTTTGGCAATATTTTTGAGAAGATAAAGAAGGAAGAAGCAGATTTAATGCAGGCTGAGCTTGCTATAGAACAAGATGATTCAGAGTCCAACTTGTTTCTGTTGGAGAAAGCCAAGCAAGAATTGGATAACACTCGGAGGTTGGAGGAGATTTATTGGAAACAAAAGGCTAATATGAGGTGGTCTTTGGAAGGGGAAAGAAACACAAAGCTCTATCATGCGGTAGCCAACGGTAGATTTGTCAGAAATAGAATTAGAAGAATTAAAAATGAGGAAGATTTATGGCTAGAAGAGGAGAAGGATATTGCAGACTGTGCTGTTCGTTTTTTCTCGCAACTTTATACTTCTGAGCAACATATTGTGCAGGATGAGCTTTTCTCTGTTATCCCTTAGCTGGTATCACAGGTAGACAATGATAAGCTTATAGCTCAGGCTACAATGGAGGAGGTGAAGGAGACAGTTTTTTCAATGTCAGTAGAGAGTGCCCCAGGTTCAGATGGCTTTTCTGGGAAATACTTCCATGAGGCTTGGGATATAATAATGGTGGATATACTGGCCGCAGTGAATTTTTTCAGGGGGGTGGTATGATTCCAAGATCTGTCAATACTATTTTTTTGTCATTGATCCCCAAGAAAACAAATCCTACTTCTTTTTCTGATTTTAGACTAATTAGTCTTTGTAATTTTATATATAAGATCTTGACTAAGATTTTGGGTAATAGGTTGAGTACTATCTTGCCCTCTATCATCTCTAGTGAACAGCAAGGTTTTATCAAAGGTAGGCATATTGGGGATTGTATATCTATTGCACAATTGATGATCAATGAGCTGGATAGGAAAGTGGAAGGGGGAAATCTGGTGCTTAAGCTAGATATGATGAAAGCCTATGACAGAATTGAGTGGGATTTCTTGAAGCAAACTCGACTCAGTTTTGGTTTCTCTTCTAATTTTGTTACAATCATAGGGAACTGCCTATCAAACCAAAACATTTATGTTATTGTTAATGGGCAGAGGTTTGCTTTTTTTCCAGCATCAAGAGGGTTGAGGCAAGGTGATCCTATCTCCCCAAGTCTGTTTATTATTGCAGAAGAGGTGTTAAGCAGGGGATTGACAAATCTATTTCGGAATGGTTTAGTTAAACCTTTTTATACTGGAAGGGGCACTATGTTATTGAGCCATTTGTTATTTGCGGATGATACTTTATTGTTCTTGAGAGGAAATAAGAATTCTTTGGTGAACTTACTCAAGTTTATTAGGCACTATGAGGCTTCTTCAGGTCAGAGAGTGAATAAGAGTAAAAGTTCTTTGTATTGTTCCTCAAAGATCTCAGTACCTAGAAGAAATGTTTTGCAGAGAACAGCTGGGATTCCATTAAAGGTTGGTCAAAGCTCATTTATTTTGAGGATCTGGTTCACAAATTTCAAGCTAAGATGGAAGGTTGGTATTCTAAATTGCTCTCTCACATGGGCAGAGTGGTGTTAATTAAATATGTTTTGAATGCTTTGCCTACTCATCTACTCTCTTGTCTGAATCTTCCAAAGGGTATTTTGGTTAAGCTTAATTCTGCAATGGGTCATTTCCTCTGGTCTAATTCAAAAGATACCAAGAAGAGACATTGGTGTTCTTGGAGAAAGGTATCTCTGCCATTGGAAAAAGGGGGTTTGGGCATTAGGAAGTTTGAAGATATCCAAAAGGCTTTCAGAATGAAACAGACATGGGGTTTGTTGCAACAGAATTCACTTTGGGCTAAACTTTTTGCTGCTAAATTTTTTAATAAGGGGCATATGCTTACTAGCTCTGGTCTTTCCTATTCCAAAGGGTATCAGGTGTTGTCCCCTTGGTTTGACATTGTGGTCAGAAATTCTAAAAGACTTATTGGTTCAGGACAGCAGACAGACTTTTGGTGTGATAACTGGCTTGGATCTGGGGCTTTGATTTGGAAAGTGCAAGAACTTCCACTAGTATTTCCTAAGGCTGCAGATGTCTACGATGGTAATCAATGGAAGCTTGAGGAAGTTAATCACTGGCTGGATAATTCTATGAGGCAAGAAATTGGTTCATTCTCTGTAGATTTAACTACTAATCCTGACCAATTGGTGTGACAATTGACTGAATTAGGTTCTTTTACGGTTAAATCTGCTTGGAATCTAATTAGAGATAGAAGACAGAAGAATACTGTTTTAACAACCCTTTGGAAGTAGCATGTTCCCCCTAGTGCTTTGCTGGTTGGGTGGAAGGTGTTCAAGCAAGCTTTACCTATGGATGTAAGCTTTCAGAAAATTGGGGTTTCCTTGGTCAGTAGATGTCCGCTGTGCTATGAGGGGGAGGAATCTTATTCTCACATTTTTATTGATTGTGCATATGCAAGGGAATTGTGGAATAGATTTGCAAGTATAATGGGATTTTGTTTAATTCAGCATGGGCTACCAATGATGAGATTCTTCAGACTAACTAGGGCCTTTACTAGGAATTCTTATAGCCATTCATTGGTCAGAGGTATATCCCTTCTCATTTTCTGGAAACTGTGGAAGGAAAGATGCCAGAGACTTTTTGAGGGTACTAAGACTCACTCTTCAGGTCTTATATCTATTATTTTAAACTACTTAAAGTTACAAGGATATGTAGTGAGACCAAAGGCTGCTGATTCTCTACAAGGTAAGTTATTGTTGTCTGAACTTAAGGTTCCAACCTACTCTACTTTTTTCTATAAAGCTTTATGGATAAAGTGGGAGTTTCCTCCGGAAGGTTTTCTTAAATTGAATACAGATGGAGCCTCTCATGGCAATTCTAGAGAGGCAGGGGGAGGGGCTGTTCTGCGCAATCAATGGGGCCAGTTAGTAGCTGCAGGATCATTTTATTATGGGCATTGTACAAAAATGGAAGCTGAGAGTAGAGCTATGTTATCATTGAATCAGATTCTCAAGTGCTCTTGGATATGCTTTTAGGGAAAATAAAAGTTCCATGGAGGCTAAGGGAACTGACCAATCAAATCTCTAGGAGGTTGAGTGCTTTTTCTTGTACACTAGTTCACACTTATAGAGAAGGGAATATGGTAGCTGACTATTTGGCTAGGAAAGGGGTGGTGGATAAAAAAGAGTTTCGAACTGCTTCATCCAATTCCATCCCAGCCCAAGCAAGAACTCTGATTTTACAGGATCAGAGACAACTTAGATCATTAAGGCAGAAGAAATCCTGGGTCTATCTAAACCCAGGAGTGCTAAGGTAGTAGGAGAAAACCTGAAGCTAGTCAGATGGTTTGGATTGCAAAGATCAAGATATTTCATCAGGGCCCCCTTGTCCATATTCATTCTCAGTTGTCATATATGATAACGCTCAGCTTGTCTCCAGGCTCATACCAGCTGCTGTTCATGGTTAATACACTCAGCTGGTATCTCATTCATGACAGTGGCTGCACTCTGAGCTCATTTATTACATCTGAGCTGTTACTCTTAGCTCATTTAGGTGGCATACATAGTATTTTTTGTTATTTCTTCATCATTTTTGTATTATGCATGCATTTTTCTCCCTTATTCCTTTTAATGTAATTAGATTGCATCGAGGGGTCTCCCCCTACCTAGGTGTAACTTAATTTTTAATCAATAAAATTTCTCTTTTAAAAAAAAAAATATATAGTTCACCAGCTACTAGGATGCCATCACTTCACCCATTACCGAATGGAATGGGTTTAGTTTTTTTTTTTAACATGAAACGGAATTCATTCATTCAATAGAAATAGCAATCTCATTTTTTAAATGGGCATCAAGAAGTCTGGTACCTCATCTCGCCATACAATACAATCAAAACCACGATTTACAATTGATGATCTAATCTTGCGTGGGTAGCATAAACTTTTCATTTGGATACCAATAAATTCCCCTGAAGTGTTAAATACAAGGTGAAAATGACCTATGAGCAGCTAGAGCAAGGATGAACAGTAACAATGTCATGTTAATTTTTTTTTGTGCTGTCATTTTTGTTCATGTCATGTCTCTGTCTATACCAACTAAAGGGTTATTTGTTTTGTTTTGAATTTGACACCAGTAGGGAAGACGAATGTTTTCGTTGATCCTAAACATGGAGAGTATCTATTTCTAATGTATTCCCTTGACCTATAATGAAGAAGGGTAGAACCAACATGCTATTAATTGGCAATCCTGTATCATGTTTTTGACAAAACAACCTACAGTTGGTTATCCACTTGTAAGTCAGCAAGCAATTGATTTACCACAATAAAAATTTGAAATGATTGTTTTGACTTAATTTATAATCATTGAATTGACAATGAGCATCAGTATTCTAGTCTAACTCTAGATATAAAATCTTTAACCCTAATCCTAACTCAACCCGAAATACTCAACCCGAGTATTGTCTGAGTTGATTTCGAACAAGCTCGGATTGCAATCAAGTTACTCAATATGGGCCTAATTCGGGTTTATAATTTGGGCTCAACAAACAATAATACTAAATTAAGTGCGAGCCTTTGTATAATGTTAGACTATTACATAGACCTATATGATCCACTAAGTTGAAACTCATTAATAAAACTTGTTAATGGTCTCAGTATGAGCCTTCTTTATGTAAGAGAGAATGGAGAGGTTATTTGAATTGTCTATCCGATGTGAGATGACAACTCCTTGTATTTTTTACTTATCCCACTTCAATTGTGTAAATTTCTTTCACCATATATAGTCTTATAAATCATGTTTCACTCCCCCTTTAGATTATAAGAATTACAAAATATGTATTTATATTTTATATTTATACTATTTATATAAATATAATACATGAATTTTGGTTGAGCCCAATTTCATTAATTTGAGTTGGGTTCAGGTTAAACCCACAACCCGAGCACTTAACCTGAGCTTTGCTCGAATTTAATTCGGGTTGAAACTTTTCAACCCTTTCCCTAACCCTAACTCTAAAAACTTTAACCCTAACACTGTTTTTTTTAGTTGAATTCAAGTTGATCCACTCAAATTGCACCCCTAATTAGATCAATAAATAATATCAGCAAATTGAATCCAGCTAATATTATTTATTAGAAATTACAATCATCGATATAATGGCTATGGTCTCGATGGTATTCACAATACATTGTTGCATCCCGCTTATTGGGATCCACCTTCATCCAAGGAGGCCACCTCAAGAACTTTTCATTTTGGACCTCATAGAGCACTTGTGATATCATGGCGTTGAGGGGAGTGAACTGTCATGCAACATACTTCTGTTGTAGCTCTTGAGGTGGCAGACCTAGGCGGTTTCTGATGTCAGCTCTCCTCTTTGAAAAATGATCTCCACCTCTCCTTAGAGATCGATCTCGGCTTTGGTCCTTCCTAGGACTTTGATCTCTTCTCTTCTCCTTGCCCCCCTAAGTTGAGGAGTTTTCAGCTTTTTAGAGGAAAGCCTCATCGCCATTAATATATTTCTCTACTTTGGCCAACACATCAGCCATGCTAGTTTGAGGATTTTTGGCCATTGAGAACAACAAATTTTTTGATTGCACTCCTAAACCAACGGTAAAGGCTGTGAGGGCAAACTTCTCGTCGAGGGTGTATACTTTTAGGGACTCTGAGTTGAACTTCTAGATGCAACTCCACAAGGAATCGTTCAGACCTTGCTTCACATTCAAGAAGTGGTAGCACGACTTACGATAAGTTCAAGCCCATTTGAAGTGGGACACGAATGAGATGGAGAGCTCTTTAAAAGAAGAAATCGATGTCAGAGCTAATCTGTTGAACCAAGCGAAGGCCGAGCCCATCAGAGCGATGACAAAGGCTCGAAAGTGCACTGGATCATGGTATCCATGCAGTTCAATCTGATTCTTTTATGTGTTGAGGTGTTCCATAGGATCCTTCGTCCCGTAAAAATATTTCGATCTGGGGCATCTTGAATTTTTGGAGAAGAGGACAGTGTAGCATCTTAGGGGTAAATGATGACTCTGTTTGTTGAACCAAAGCATCCATGGTCATTGGGGTTTTGTTCTTCATCGCCTCCTTCATGTGGTTGGGTTCCTGTTGGATCTCTTTGAAACGTCACTCCTAGAATTGATCCCCCCTATTTTGCTGGAGAAGATCTGGGGTGCACTCGTTTTCGCAGACTCCTCTGATTTGACTCTAAACCTCTTCTTCCTCCGCATTTCTCGGGGCTCTGGGGGGATCATTCTAGGTTGGTTGTGTCCCTTGGGAATTTTGAGCGCAAATAAGACTTACTAGATCCTCATTTTGTTGGAGGAGGCGATTTTGGCTTAAGTTAGAGTCTCGAGTTTATTGTTTGGAGGGGGTCCATTATTGGCAAATTGTCTTCTAAGTTTGGCAAAGGATTTATTGGAACACTCTGTTGTCCCACGATGATAGTTTCCTTCTAGTTTTGCGAACGTAGCAGATTTGCCTATTTTTGCTCATGTTGCACGTAGAGACCATTAATTGCTGAAGGATCAGCATAATTTTAGCAGGAATCAAAATAATCATTTCCTACAGACGGCGCCAACTGATGGAGTGTTCTGCACAGTTAAGTAGAGGTGAACGGATTGGTCATCCTGTTAAGGATGTTGATGGGGTTTATTGGGATATCTAGACAGATCTTCTAGGCTCTTGGGGATTGAACAATCAATTTAGGAGTTAGTAGCTACGAACAAAGATCAATAGATTGAGTATTTATAGTGGTTCACCAGCTCAGAAGCTTGACTAGTTCACTCTAATGAATTTTCTTGCTTATGGGAGAATTTTCTATTACTTGGGGAAGAAGGTTATAAGATTACATATATCTTTTCGGTACAAATGTTTAATCCCTATTTATAGTATACAGTGGCCTTGCGTGGTCGGTGTGATGCTCTCGTAATCAATACGATCTTTGCATAATCAACGTGATCTCTTTGAGGTTGTTACAGTCCATGTGGTGAAATGTTTGGGCGTTCTTGTCTACATTTCCTAGGCGTGACGTGGTCTTCTGGAAGATATGAGCTGTGTTGCCACCATGTGCTCAAGTCGGTGATAACTCTCGACTTGTGCTTCCTGAGCTAATAATTATGAATTGAGGTCCAAGCTAATATGTTTGAACTGTTCAGACATAATTTTTTAACTAAATTAGTTGACTTAATCTATTATAGCTATTGAATGGATAATTTTATTCTACATTGGAACTCATTTTAAATCCAACAACATTAGAATCCCCTTGCTCAATAAATATTTTATGTACAAAGACTTTCTACTGAAGTGTGGGTCTTGACACAATAGTAAGTTTGTTCAATTTGAAATTTGGGAGTCAAGGATTTGATTGCTAATATAGCCTGTCTAAAGACAGGGTACACTACAAGCATAAGACCCTTTTGTGAAAAATTTTTACGGTGGTTATGTTCACCGTTACAAATGTTTTTGAGATAATTTTTTTGTAGCGGCTGTTTTTGCCGTCACAAAGAGTGTGTTTGTATTAATATTTTGTTAATATTTGTGGTAACTATTTTTTTTGTCATAAAATAGTGTTATAAATTCAAAAGAAATTTTTGTATTTGAGACAACTGTTTTTCCTTCCGCAAATAATATTTCATAAACTTAAAAGAATTTTTTATATTTATGCCAACTATTTTTCCTATCATATAAAATATTTCACAAAACATTAAAATGTTGGTTTAGATTAAAAACAAGTTTTTAAAGAAGAAAAACTCTAAAAAAAATTGTATTGGCCACAATTATTTTTCTTGTTACAAGTAATATATGATAAAATTACGTAGTTTTACATCAAAAGATAATATTTAGTTCAAAGAAAAAAAAACTAAATTCTACAAAGTCAATTTTTTATATCAAAACTAGGGGTGTCAAAATATGTCACGACCTGTTAACACGACATAAAATTAGTGGGTTTGAGTCTTTCTTAAACCACTTGTTTAGTAAACGAATAGATCCGATACGATACGATTATAAATGAATCAGATATTGGTGAAACCAATTAGAAGAAATGTATACGATATGATTCGTTTATATATCATTTACATAATTAGAGAAGCCGTTCAGAGAAATATTGTGTGACCCTCTATTGATGTATATTCTAACTTATTTTAGTTCTTTATTGTATATATGTATATAAATATAATTTTAGTATAGTAACAATAATTTAATATTTTTTTTGAATGTCACTGGGAGAGTAGATGAATTGGGATTGATGTTCAAATTTTTTGCATTAATTTCTTATACTCATGAATCGTTATATTTTGTAAAAGTGTATATTTTACATTTTGTTTAACTCAAGTGATTTTTTTTTTTTGGATATAAAAATATTGTTATGTTTTTGAAAATGTTGGTCATATTTACTGTTGTATTTATCTATATATTGAATTGGGTAGTTGTACGGATACCAATGGGTCTTTGGTTTAATAGTATTCTT